AATCTCGAGGAGACGAAGTGGTGATGGTGGTGGTGCTGATCACACGCGGAGTTGGAACAAGAGAAGCAGTATAATGAAATGTTTGGTGAGCATTCTTAGAAGAGGTATTCCTTACATCTTTGCTAGTTTTGGTGTAAATGCGGAGGTAGAGGCAGGGGCATGTGTAGGAGGAAAAACAGGAGCCGAGGGACCTGCGCCTCCACTTTGTGTGATGTGTTCGCCGGCAAAGAGGAATTTAAGTATTCAACCGATTGGTGCATTCCATGTGTCCCAACCAAAGGCCATCTCATCCTGTGTGACAGCAACCGAGGATAATCAACGGTGGATTGTCTTCACTTTGTGTCGTGCCATAATTTGACAAGGTAATTATTCAACGTGCCGAAGTCATTGCGATCGGATAGAGGGCTTGATGTGCCGTCACCGAGGGAGAGCAAAAATAGCAAAACTAAGTTTTGAAGAGAACTGAAGCCCCATAGATTTTCAGTGTTATCTAACAAGAAAATCAAATCTTACAGGGTGCAGACCAAATGCTCTTCTTTGACACAGGCCCTTTTCTCACCTCTACACTTCTCCCCGTTTTTAACCCTTACTTTCATGATATCGATGGTACAGCTCCACCATGCCGTCCTGCAGCAGCTCATCCAACTCCTTTCATCAACACGAGTGAGCTGAATTTATTGGTCTCATAGCAAATTTCCTCTCTTCTGCCTTTGCATCTATGCAGCGATTACCAACCACCAGAATTTCACTTGTTGCATGGGTGCTTTACAGAAACGATTGGTGTGTTATGAAGTGCGAACGCAACCACCTCAGCCGAGTTCTCTTCTGACACACATGTGACAGCATCTCAAACGTGTACACACTTCCACTGTCTTACCGCTGTGTGGCTGAGTGCCCCAGTGCCTCCCCTCCTTAGCTGTCCACCACTGCATCATGCTGTGTTCTGCTCCATTGTGCTGCTTTGTGCCCCACGTCTTCTGTGCACCATCTACTGCTACATTTGTCCGGCATCGCGATCGCGGAGTCTGGAAGCGAATGTACTAACTCCAGCGATAGGCACGTTGTGCACAGTGGCCCTACGGTATATTCTAAATTTGACATTACAGAATTAAGATTGTCACTTTCGCCTGAAGGTGCTTTCCACCTGTAAGACAAGTGGCATATCTTCGAACACATCCACATGAATGCATTCACTGCCACACTCTCTCACGCATGCTTGAAGACAATGTGTAAATGCACATTTGCAGTGACCTCGACTTAACCAGGTAATGCTTAAATTTCAAGGTTTGACCCAGGGTCATACCGACGAATTTACCGAGATAATTAGCATCATCCGTGGAGGGGGGAACTAGAGGTTAACACAGAGTTGGTAGGAAAGCATCACGATATCTGCGCAAAGTGGAGGTTACTAGAAAGATCTTTAGAGCCCTAATTCGTCATCGAGTATCCTGAGTCAAATGTCTCAGTCACGACGAAATGCCACTAATGCAGCTTTCCGACCCGCCCCTTGTGTAAAGGAAGTGTCGAGCTGTGTGTGCTTAGAAGCAATGCCAATCAGTTCACTTGCTGACCCTCTCAATTCCAATGGAAATAGCAATGACTAATATGAAAAACCGATGTCAAATGATTTTAGTGATATTTCAACTGGTGATGATAAAGAAATCAGTCGATGCTACTTATCATATCTCATATTTGTACCTGCCTGACAATGTCAATGTCATCAAGGAGGCAGAAAGAAATGCGAAAATGAGTGAATGAAGCACCTCATAATACCAATTAAACTGTCCATTCTTGATGTCTACTGGGAGAGGTGGCTCATTGTCTTGAGTGAAATTACAGAAAAACTGAGAAAAGAAACATTATTTTGAAACTGATTACATTCTCCCATTTCCTGTTGCTTATCGAGACCATATCCGTTCTAATCGCCCGATAATGCATAAAAATAAGATCTTTTAGGTTGCAATGTGATCGCAGTGAATGTATGAGTTTCATCTCTTGCACATTCGTCTAATCCGGTGAAACATTCACAAGTACTCAAGTACTCAAGTACCAAAAGGCACAGACATCATCTCAAAATCCATGAATGGGTGCCAATTACCAACGGGTATTGCGGACTGCATTTGGAGGTGCTTGGCTAAATCTTTGTTCGGTAGTAGATACTACCTAGCTGTCCCCCATGTCGAACCACGGAGATGGATTACCTTTTTGAGAACAAGTGGATTTAGAAGCAAC